GAACTATAACAGCAGGAACTATAGGAACAGGAACTATAGGAGCATGAACTCTAGGAACCGGAACTATAACAGCAGGAACTATAGGAACAGGAACCACAGGAACTACTGTCACTCTTGGATAACAGGGAGATGCTTTAAACATGTTGCCCATAGCTGCATTTTCTCCTTCCATGTGTGTTTAAGCTGTAGAAAATACTGTAGAAAGGTAGATTCAAGAGGAAATGCTACATGGAGAATAGATGCTGCAGATGTGTCCGTGGCTCATTTGCATAGACCGTAACTAAGGACTTAGGGTCAGAGACCCAGAGTGGCAGTCTGTGGGAGTGGGACTTGAACTCAGAACCTCAGGATTCAAAGCTGTATGCCCTAACCACTAGGCCACCCCTCTCCCAAATGTTCTTCATCCAAACATGCTTCACCCCAAATGTTTGTCATCCCAAAGCAACCAGTGATCTTTCAAGGTAAAACTTCTTATTGATTCTCACCTTCTGCTGCAACCAGATGAGGGCTCCATCAGTGAGCTGACTGACTGACTGACTGACTGACCAACTGAATGACTGATTGTCTGTCTTTCTGACCGACCAAACAACTTGCTGACTTACTGACTGATGGTCTGACTGACTTACTGACCAACAGACTGACCGACTGACGGACTGACTGACTTGGGTTCCAGTTTCTCTCTTCTCTCTTTGTTCCTGCAGATGTTTCTGCAGCAGAAAATTCAAACCTGCTGCGGTTTTTCAACCCTCTGGTTCAATGGGCCATTCCAGCTTTTTCCTGACTGTCCTTTCAGAATAAAACCCAGAGGCTTGTAAATAAAGAAGTTGTTCTCCGGGTTTTGGTCTAATGCCAGCCCAATTGGAGGTCTCTATAGGATGCCTTCCAGCTCGTGGCAGTGACACAGTGAGTCAAACAGATTCACCTTTGATGCTGAGAGGCTCTGTAAAGCCACGTTGCTTTTAATTTGAAAGGTTCGAATTAGTTTCCTGTGGTACTGATGAATCAGAGTGTTGCCCCTTCCTGCTTTCCATCTGTTAGTCATTATAAGTAGAGGAGGGGGTGTTCCCAGGGTGATAGCTCAGACTGCAGGCCTTGGACCCCACAGTGTTTTTTGGTTCTGCAGATCACAGAACCTCTTCATTTATTTCATGTATGTGTCCTGCTCACATAACCGGACCTAACGGCATGGAGTCATTCCAGGTGATCTTCTTATTGGGTCCTCCAGGTTCTGAGAGTCTCATAGATGTGCTGACAGAATGACCGAAAGAATCCTGGTACTACTAAAACCCCCAAAACCGTTTCTTATGTTGAGTGTCATGATCTCCTGCGGTTCTGATTAACCAAACAGACCAGAACCACACAGACCACAACAACACAGACCAGAACCACAGGGACCGGAACCACACAGGCCAGAAAAAGAGACCAGAACGAGACAGACCTGAACCAGAGAGACCAGAACCACAAAGACCAGAACCACAGAAACAAGAGCCAGAGAGACCAGAATACTAAAGTCCTAGAACCACACACACCAGAATAACACAGACCAGAACCACACAAAACAGACCTGTAAGACCAGAACTATAGAGACATGGAACACAGAGACTAGAAATAAAGAGACCAGTACCAAAGAGTCCAGATCCACAAAGACCAGAACCACACAGACCAGATCTCCATAAACCAGGACTACAGAGACCAGAACTCTGCAGTCCAGAAATACAGAGACCAGAACAAAAGAGACCAGGACTACAGCCACAGAGACCAAAACTACGGAGACCAGAACTAAAGAGACCAGAACCAAAGAGACCAGAACTACAGACACCAGAACCATGCAGGCCACAAAAAGAGAGACCAGAATGATACAGACCAGAACCAGAGACCAGAACTAAAGACACCAGAACCAGGGAGACCAATTAATATAAGCAATCAAAGAATATTTGTATAGCACTTCACACTACAGATATCCAGAGACCAGAACTACAGAGACTAGCAGTGTTGGGAAAGTTCTCTTTCTACGTGAACTAGTTCAAAGTTCAGTTCACACATTTTAAAATGAACTAGTTCAGTTCATAGTTCAAAATTCCAAAAAACTAACTAGTTTATAGTTCTTTTTTTTTTTTTTTTT